TACCGGGGATTGAACTTGGGTCCTTGCACTTGCAAGGCAGGCCACCGAACCACTGAGCTAAATCCCCAGCCCAAACTTTTCTCAAAAATATATTTTTATAGAGAGTATAAACAATGTCTGCTGTATTGTCAACAATAAAAAATAAAAGCAAGTATCATTGCAGTTGTTGTTTTTACTATCTCTATTATTACTATAATTATTTCCCTTATTCCTCCTATTACCATGTAAAATTTAGCTAACATCCCTTAAAAGAGCCAGTATACTTAGATACATTATTTCACTTAATATTTACAACAAGCCTGTGAAGTGAGACATAGTATTCCCATTTTAAAATTAAAGATACTAGGGCCAGGGATGTAACTCAGCAGTGCAGTGCCTGCCTGGCAAGTGTGAGGCCCTGAATTCGATTTCTGGTTCCAAACAAAGAAAAATAATTGAAGATACTGTGGAATAAGGATCAGTTAACGTTCCCACTAGACAGATAGAAAGTAATGGAAACTACATTTCTATACAGGCAGTCTGGCCCCAGAGTCTGTGCCTTTATTTGATACACACCATACCTTCTGTAGTCAATCACCATTAATCATTATGACTGTCACTGCCTGATCATCATCATCATTATTTTCACTGTGAACACACTCACCAGTTTAAATACTTCAAATGAACGCCACTCCTTTTAAAAATCTATTAACTTTTCTTATCTATCTATTTTCAGTAATAAGATGACACAGTCCTTATAAAAATAATATACAACATTTGATATGTAATTAAGAGTATTCAGCTTCAAACTGTTATAAACTCTCATTACTGAAGCTTACTGATAAATATTTACCTCTACTTTGTTTTGTAACAATTTTTTCTTCTAACCACTAATACAATTATTCAAAAAATGGGAAGAATGTGAATAAGTAAAATGCTTCAACACATAATTTTAAAATAAATTTCAATAAGCATAGGAAGATAAACATAAATAGCAGAGACTCGAAATGACTTCTGAATAACTCTCATTTACTTCTACAGGATTGTAGCAAGGTCCGCACCTCTAAGCTTAACTCAGATGCTTAAAGTTGTACGAACTTTGAGAATTTTGAAAATTATTCCTTTAAACCAAGGTAAGAAATGACATTGAATCTCTTTTCTCATTCTTTATGGCTGAGTAATATTCCATTTTATAGAAAAACCACATCTTCTTTATACAGTTTTCAACTGATGGGCAAATGGGCTATTTCCAAGTTTTAGCTATTACAAACTGTGCCTCTATAAACATGGGTGCGCATACATCACTGTGATATGATTCTTTTAGTTCTTTTGGAAAGATACCCAGCAGAGGGATGGCTGAGTCAAATGGAACCTCTGGTTCCAGCTCTTTGAGGTATCTCCATATGGATTTCCACAGTGGTTGCACCAGTCTGCACTCCCACCAAGATCCTGATAAGATTACTGACATTGAGAAATGGGAAGAATGGGGTTAAAGGTGTAGGGAAGGTGGGATGGGTAGGGGAAGGGTAACAAGGGAAAAGGAAAAAATGTGAGATAACAAAAAGATGGAAATAAAGTGTTTGTAGATGGGGAGGGGAGGAGGGGGTGAAGGGAGGGCAGAGATAAGTGGAAAAAATGAGAACCAAGAGCTGTCATGTAGAGGTACAAGATCCCAACAATGAATGTAACTGTACTGTATGCCTAAAAGGTACCAATAAACTCAATTAAAGAAAAAAAAGAAATGCCATTGGATTATTTTTCCCTTGTGATATACATTCTTCCATATAATCATTTGAATTCTCTTGTTCTTCAGAGAAAAATATTAATTTGACAGTATTTTCTTTTTGAAACCAATAGGTCATCTGATCTTTCAACTAATTTTTTTCTTCAGAAAAAGACATTTGATTTTTATTTATGTGATACTGGTTTAATGTTCATGATATAAAAATATAGATTAATCAATTATACTTTTATTTTTTGCATTTAAAAATATGAGCTTATAAAACTTCTTATATTTCTGAGGATAGCTCAGGCAGATTTCTAGTATACCTCCTCCTTTCCTTCATTGCATCAAGAAACCAACTGAAATGAACCAAGTAATGTAAAATACGATAAATATCTCCTTGCTCTGAATGCTTCAATAGTATGCAATCCATATACCACAAAGTTCAGAGAGTTTCTCCTAAAAACCCAGAGAACTGTGTTCACAGTTTTAGAAGATGTTGAGGCCTAATTTACAGCTTCCATTTCTGAACGTATCTTGGCATAAGGCCACCAACAAACAACTTCCAATTTGTTCTGAATGAGTATAATCTGATATGAACAGTTCACATAGCTTTTTGGCTGCTATAAGTTGGAAGTATTAAGAAATCATTCTATCAAAAACCCAAGACCAAATGTAATGATACTAAAGTGAGGTCTGTCATGGACCAGAACACTGTGAAGAAGGCTAGCTCTGTGTACCCTGGAGACCAGGCTGAGTAAAACAGAAAAACAGCACAAAAAGGATTCACAACCTATGAATATTCTATAACACTGAATTGTACACATTAAACAAATGAATTCTAGGGCTTCTGAATTATATCTCTGTGAAGTTTTTTAACAAAAATAATTATCTGTGGCATGGCAACTTCACCAAATCCAGAGAAGGTAAGTATGACTTTACAAATGTATATTAAGATAGTATCATAATGGTACATAAGATCCTAATGATATAATTGATGATATGAAATAGGAAGAAAAGGGCTAGAGGTGTGGGAGAAGTGGGTAGGGCAGGGGAAAGTTAATGGTGGAAAAATATGAGAAAATGAAAAAGTGGAAATAAAATATTTGTAAATAGGGAAGGGAGGAGGGATGAACGGAGGGCAGGGACAAGGGAGAAAAATGAGAACCAAGATCTGTCATGTAAAGGTACAAGATCCCAATGATGAATGTAACTGTGCTGTATAACTAAAATGTAGCAATAAACTCAATGAGAGAAAAAAAGAATAAAAAAAAATGTTAGAAAAAAAAATTTTTTTAATTTTTAACTGGAGGAAAAATCTACTTACAAATGGAAAGGTCTCAATTTATATGAGACGTATTATAATAATAAGGGACACATATATAGTCTAAAATATTACAAAGCATTAAAGAATAGTATATAAATCCTACAAGCAAACAAGCAATTTTTAGACATCAAGGCATTTTTAGACATCTTCATAATAGTGTGTGAAAATTGCAGGCATGGAGGTAGTGACTTAGAATTCTACATATGTACATCATTCATATATGAAGTCCACAGAAAAATATGATCCATTCAAGAGCTATTACATTCTGCATCTTTATCTTTCTTGAATAATTGTAAGGAAAGACATGAAAATGAAAATTGTGAAAATAAAATAACCAACAATGGCAAGATTTAATTCTGAAATAAGTCAGAATGAGCTCTGCAACAATTCCAACAGAGAATAAATTTCAAATTACTGTTGTTTATAGGTTATAAGTCGAAGGTTACCACATGGACATCTGTGAGCCATTCTTGAACTGGAGACATACATACCAACATTATAAAATTTTGATAAATTTTGCCAAAATCTAAATAAATTAGATTTATTTTAAGATAAACTAATTTCTAAAGGGCAATACACTTTGGGTATATGGAGCAGCTTCACTTTTTAGGTCAGGAATTTCCATCCAAGTCCTCTCTACTCCCTCTCCATGAGTTTTACCCTTCTGACAAGCCATTGCAATGATTTGAATTCTACTTGTCCTATTAGTTATGTCAAATTATGCATAATATAAAATATATCATAGTTTTACCATTGCAACTGTCAAAGTCCCAAATTATATTAATAAAAACTGAGAAATTGGAATAGAAAAAATGTGATAAGTAAATATGGTTATTTCCTTATGTTATGTGGTAGAATAAGGGATGATATGGTTCTTTTTTTCTTTTTTTTTAATTTTCTGTGGTACTGAAAATCTAACCTATGGCTTCTGGCATGCTAGGAAGTGCTCTTCCACTCAATTGCTCCCCCACCTGTGTGTGTGTGTGTGTGTGTGTGTGTGTGTGTGTGTGTG